AAAATACAAACTCATGTTGAAATAGGGGCGGCGGGGCTGCGTCCCCAACACCCTGGCCGCTTGGCTAGCTCATGCCCGAAATAACAACACACAAACTGTATTCATTTAAGAACTGCTTGGCCCATGAACTTTAGCCCTTACAGGCTAATTCTCGCACCTGGACTAGCCCATTTCTAATGATGTGTATAAGCACCCCAAGGTGCGCTTACCGGGAAGATTCTAGCCTAAGTCCATCGTGGGTTGTAGCTGCCTGGGAGAGCAGAGCATGGCGGCTGTCCGGTCCCTCTGGAAGCAGCGCAGAGTCTGACCTCACTTCCTCTTCCGCCCAGAATTCTATTCTGTTTCCTCCTCCCATCTATGTTCTAACCTATCAGGGCCAGCCAAGCAGTTTCTTTTATTGCTCAGCCAATGAAATCAACAGATTGATATGACACTCCCACATCAAACTCACACAATCCTGGGATCATTCAGCCCCTCTGAGGTCAGTTTCCTCATCTGTAGACTAGGCTCAAGAATGTCAAACTCGCAGGACTGTGTGGAGGAGTAAGTGAAAATGACAAACTCCGTGCTTATACTCTAATAGGTCAGAGTCTTGTAATTTACCGTAATGCTTTCCCACTCTCTAATTTCTTCCTCCACCTGACGAGCACAGGAGACCTCATTTAGAAAGTGGTTGTGGGAATGAACTGAGACAGAGACATTAAAACACTCAGGCCAGAGTTTCATAGTTGGGCTAAGCAATTAAGTTTCTCCATCCCTGCCCAGCAGTGTGTCATCTTCTTTGCATGTACATTGTGTGGACCAGAGTTGACATCAGGATCTTTCTTAGTCGCCCTCTGCCTTACTTTTTGCATCTTTCATTGAACCTAGAACTTACCAATTCGACTATTCTGGCGAGCCAGCAGTCCCAAGGAATTCTCCTACCTCCGCAGCACGGAGATTACAAGCATGAGCCCCTAGGCCCCACTTTTTAAAAATCTGGCTTCTGGTGATCCAAGTTTAGGTTTTCACGCTTACATGGCAAGCATTGTACTGGATAATGGAGCCAGCATCCCTGGTGATATTTTCTATTCACCTACCCGAGATCAGACTGGGGTCCCAGGAAGTGACTATCCAGACAGAAGTGTAGTGAAATGCACAGAGGAGCCCCTGAGCTAGTTGGATGCGTAGGAAGCTTTCAGGTAGCAAAGCTTCAGAGGAATTACCTGTGATGGGGAAGTGAGAGGAGGACATTTCTAAACAGCACAAAGACACTCCCAGGTTGGCATCACGGACCTCCTAGAACTGGATCTGAGCAAACTTCACAGGGGAGAGTCTGAATCAATCTCCACTCAACCAGACAGCTGTTAGGAGTACAGACCTATATGTATCTCATTTGGATGAAATTTTCCCATATAAATTTCTTTTAATTTCATTTTTAAAACAAACAAACAAAAACCAAAAGTAAAAAACAGCCGGTCATGGTGGTGTACACCTTTAATCTTTTAATTCCAGCGCTCAGGTGGCAGAGTCAGGAGGATCTCTGTGAGTTAGCCTGGTCTACAGAGTGAGTTCCAGGACAACCAAAGATACACAGAGAAACCCTGTCTCAAAATAGCAAAAATAAATAATAAAAAAAAGCATACAGAGGTCAGCTGAGGATAGTTCCTACAGCCAACAGTTTGTCTCCCGTAGTGTTTTCCCCAACTAGGCCACTCAGATGCCAGACCATACTGAGTGGGGGTTACCCTGAAGCTTGGAGTCGCCAATTCTGGGTTTGCTGGGCAGATTTTGCCATCTATTTCCCAAAGAACGTCATTCCCCATCCAGGTTAAAATGCTTTGGCTTGTTCTGCGCTCCTCTGCACCCACACCTATCTAGGTCCAGATCCTTTGTCCTTGCTGCTATTTTTCCTTTAGGGCACTATAGACATTGGTTTTTCCTTTTTAATTTCTTTCTTCTTTTCCTTTTCTTGTTTTTGTTTTTCGAGACATGGTTTCTCTGCAGCTCTGGCTACTACCCTGGAATTTTCTCTGTAAATCAGACTGGCCTTGAACTCACAGAGATCTAGAATTAAAGGTGTGCGCCACCACTTCCCCAGCTTCTTTTTTTTCTTTTTCCTTTCTTTTATTGTTCGTTCATTCGTCTGTTCGTTTGTTTGTTTTGGACAGTTTCACTGTGTAGCAGCCCAAGACGGCCTGGGACTTGATATCCTCTTGTCTCAGTCTTCTGAGTACTAGTCTAGGGTTACTACTGGGTCATCCTTCCAAGCTTCAACTTTTATTTCCCATCTTAGAGACAAAAGGCCAAGATGAGATGCCAATGAGTGGGCCCATGGGAACCCACTGCAGAGCACTGGCGCTTTCTTAAGGTCGCTCATCAGAGGCTGAAATGGAAAGCAATACAAGTGTCTATCTAAACAGAAGGTGGTGGTGCTGACTGATACCATATGGCATACACAGCCCACCATGAGGGCCACAGCAAAAACGTCAGCAATAAGCCCCTACACTAGCAGATTCTTCTTGTTGACTGGGAACCGTACCCTCTCTTCTTTCTTAACAACTGTGCCACCCTGTGCACAAAGATTGTCTTAGTTGGGCTGGAAGACTTGAGGGTGATGCAGTAGATGCAGAAAAGACCCTGTGAGAGATTTAGGTCGGCCTCTGGCGAAGGCTGCCTCACTCACCTCCTAACCTATGAGTCAGATATTTAATGCGAGTTTTGCCAATTATTTTGCCTGTGGAAATTTTTCTAACAGTTTGACCAAAATACTTATGCACTAATAAAAGTGGGGTGTTTGTGGGCTAGAGATGTGTCACTCACATGCTAAAGTGATTGCCTAGCATGTGCAAAGCCCTGGATCCTGTCCATAGCACCACATAAACCACGTGTGATGGCTCATACCTGCAATCCCAGCACTGGGGAAGTAGAAGCAGAAGAATTGGAAAGTCGAGGTCATTTTTTACTACAAAATGAGTCATGAGAATGGGAGAGCTCATTTTCAAAATAAATCAATAGAGCCAGGTGATGGTGGTGCATGCCTTTAATCCCAGCACTCGGGAGGCAGAGGCAGGCAGAATTCTGTGAGTTCTAGGCCAGCCTGGTCTACAAAGTGAGTTCCAGAACAGTTTGAGATAGAGAAGCCTTGTCTTGAAAAAAACAAAAGCAAAATTTAAAAAAAAATCAATAAAAATTGGATCCTTTGCCAGATATAGCTGATACCAACTGTTGAGTGGGCCCATAACATTTCCATCTACTCCCTTAGATATGCTAGGACAAAAGGATAGGTGACTGAGTCTACTCCGGGTTTGATCTACATCACCTGGACTATGGCGGTGTGAATGAGAAATGTCCCCCATAAGCTCAGATGTTTGAAGACTTAATCCCCAGTGACAGCACTGTTTGGGTAGGTTTAGGAGATGTGGTCTTTTTGGAGGAAGTATGTCCCTAGGGGCCACCTTTGAGGTTTCAAAGTTACTGGCATTCCTAGATCTTACTCTGCTTCATGCTTTTAAGATGTGAGCCCTCAGCCGGGTGGTGGTGGTGCACACCTTCAGTGCCAGCACTCGGGAGGCAGAGGCAGGCAGAACTCTGTGAGGTCAGCCTGGTCTACAGAGTGAGTTCCAGGACAGCCAGGGCTAGGGTTACACACAGAAACCCTGTCTCGAAAAACCAAACCAAACCAAACAAACAAAAAAAGATGTGAGCCCTCAGCTCCCTGTTCCTGTCACCATGCCCCATCATGGACTCGAACCTGCTGCAGTGGTAAGTCCAATAAACTCCTCTATCAGTTGCCTTGGACATAGTGTTCTATCACAGCACTGGAAAAGTAGCACACACACAAAACCAACAACAAACCCTTGACTTTGGGCAATCAACTCCTCAGACTTCAACCATCCCAGTTTGTTAGGGACTGAGCAGCTCCTGGGGGGTTGGTGTGTGTGTGTGGGGGGGGGTCGTTGCTAAAACAAGGACAGTCTCTGGCAAACTAAGACAGTTGTGCCCAAGTTTAGGTCTCCATCTATAAAATAAGATTGGATGAGACTGGTTGTAAAAGTCTGCCAAAGTCTGTATTCAGAACTGATTCTAGAGACGTTGGGTGCATCCTCACAATGCTCAGCATCTGGCCAGATGCTGGCAGACTCGGCACCTATTTGCCATCCTTGAACTGATCTTTTAACGAACTGGAATTTTAAGGATCGGGATTCACTGAGGATCAGCTTTAGACCAAGCTTTGTTGCACATTCAGACTTTCTTCTGCTCTGGCTAAATGACTTCACTAGAACTTACAGATGTCTTGTTTCGTACTTGACTGCACATTTGGGTAAAAATATAGCCTGGCAACGGGTTACATATAATTTAGTTTTTTTTTCTTTAAATGATGTGCTAGATCTACATAAACACTCTCATACTAACACTATGTACTTATGAGCTTGCATTTTGGGAATTACCAATCTGAGACTTACTTACAAGCACTGGTCTGGTGGTGCTTGTCTAAAACCTTCGTCTGTAGAGAGATTCTTTAATGCCCATCTGGCTCCAACAGCTACCACCTTCCCACCATGATTCGGCTAGACGTCTACTTCCACCTTTGGGTGCCCAGTCCACATCCCTCCCCGACTGTGTGAAGTATGCAAAGTCCTCAAGGACTTAGGTTTCCTCGAATTCAAGTGGCTATCTGGGGTTACTCTGGGGGCCTGGCTGGGGAGCCAAGAAGTTCCGGATAGCCCAGAAAGGGCAGCAAAAAGGTCTGCAGGGCCGCTCCTAGTTGCTAAGGGAGGGGCGGATCCCTTCTGGGTGGCTCTTCTCGGAGAAGCCCGCCGACAGGCTAGGGGAAGGAGATTGTGCTGCGGAAGGAGCCGGGTTTCACTGCAAGCCAGCGGCCCCGCAAGCGGGTGGGTGGCGCATGCGCGGCGCGGGTCCTGGAGTTGTGAATGGTGCGTCTTGTTTGCTAGAGTTTGAGGCGGGCGGGCGCGCGAGAAGGAGGGGTGGGGCCGGCGGGGAGGGGGGGCAGGGAGAGAAAAGGGGGGGCCGGCGAGAGGAAGTGGCGGCAGCGGCCGGGGGAGGCTAGAGCTGTGTCTGCGCGGGCGGCAAGCAACGGCTGAAGCGGCGGCGGCGGTAGCGTGGTTTGGGCTCAAGCAGACGGCCGCACCTCAGACTCCCTGGAGCGGGAGCCCACGCGGGCGGGCTCCTGAAACAAAGAGCAGCGGGAGTCCAGACGCCGCGGGTGGGCGGTCAGCCGGTCAGCACCGAGCCCGCCAGCGGCTGCCCGCGCTAGCCCGGAGCGCGGCCGCTCGGCGCGGCCTGAGGGCGGGAAGATGCCGCGCGTCGTCCCCGACCAGAGAAGCAAGTTCGAGAACGAGGAGTTCTTCAGGAAGCTGAGCCGCGAGTGTGAGGTGAGGCGGGTGGGAGGCGCGGAGGCCTTGGCGCGCCCCGAGTGGGCCCGGGCGGAGAAAAGTTTAGTTTGAGCGGCTTGGTTCCCGGGGAGCCCGAGGCGGCGAGCCGGCCGAGGGGTAATCTCACCCCGGCAGCAGTCCGCCCACAGACTCTGCTTGCCCTTATCGGAGCCGCGGGGAGCGGGCGGGCGCCGCCGCGGATTTGCCTCCTGATTTCGGGCCATCTCTGCCCTGCAGATTAAGTACACGGGCTTCAGGGACCGGCCTCACGAGGAGCGCCAGACACGCTTCCAGAACGCCTGCCGCGACGGCCGCTCGGAGATCGTAAGTCTGCGGGCCCGGGGGCGCGGGGAGGCCGCGGGGGGACCTAGGCGCGCGCCACTCACTTGTTGCGCGCGGCCCGGGCGGGTTCCGGACGGCGCCGCGGACGCTGCGGCTCCCGGAACTGAGCGGGCGCAGGCTCACTTCCTAGTCCGGATTCGAATGGCAAAAAAAGCCGACGCCGGCGGCTCGGTCGGCCCTCGGGCGGGCACGCGTTCCTTCGCCTTGGCCGGCTGCGATGGTCGGTCCGTGGTTCCCAGAGCAGGCTCGGCTCTCGGAGTGGAGCTCAAACCCGAGCCTGGCAAGCGTCATCGCCTAGGCAGTGACCTCGATCGGGGATCGGAGTGTTTGTCGGAAGAATACACCCGTTCGTGAAAAGAATCACTTGGGGTCAGCGATAGTTCGTTTCTGAGAAGCGAGATTGGCAAATCCATATGTGAAGATATCTCCCCATACAGCCGAGAGTAAATCTACTCCACTTATCTGTTGCCCTGATAGCAGAGGGGGTAAAAAGGGCCCCGGAGGATGGACCATTTTCTTTACTTAGGATGTGAAGAGTCTGAAAGAACCGTCTGTTTTTCTCTTTCTAACCTAAACATGTCTCTCTTAGTATTGGAGTCCCTAAAGAATTGCCTCGTTCTATGAAACCAAACCCGTAGTTGATTTAGAGCCGCCTGCTTTATGTTTGAAAACTACTACTCATCCAGCCCTGGGTCGAAAAATATTAGTAACCTAGTTCCTCTCCGGGCTGTTAGCTGTCCCCTTCAGATGTTTTGGTTAGGAAGCAACAAAGAGAAGAAACTAAAGGAAAGAGAATTTTAGGTTTTTAGTTTTCGGTTTTTTGGTTTTGTTTTAGTGGAAACAATGTAATGGAATCTTGGTATTTGCTCAGTGACAGGCTCATTGCCTTATCCCAAACGTGAAGCAAAGGTACAATTTGAATGAATTCAGGTTAACAGTACAAGTCTATTGGCGAGTGTATTCTCTTCCCCAAACAATTTTTTTTCATTGAAATATAATTCACATATCATGAACTCAACCTTGGATCACTGAAACCAGATTTATTTTTTAAAGTTTTTTTTAGTATTTAAAATGAAGGCTCTTGGAATTGAATTGATACTGAGATGGTACTAGATGCATCAAGAACTATATAGAATATTTGATCAGTAAAGTGTTTCATAAAAGAAAGCCTACCGCTTCCAATCCATATCTGGTTTCATGAGTAGTTGTGATAGTTACATGCTTGCAAAAGCATTAGAAATGCTTTTCAGCATTGGCCCTGGGTGGTAGAAGAAAATCCTCGGTTGGCCCAGTGATGATGGCATCCTTTGCCTGCATTTCGGAAGCAAGAGGTGGATAGTATACTTGATAAAGGATTTCCTGGATGTTTTCCAATGATAAATGTAAAAAATAAAATACAAATAAAATAAACTACTGTTTAAAGCTAAGTTGTTTTTTAATGTAGTGATGCTTAGCCAGTAGGATTTATTTATTTATTTGTCCTATCAGAGTTTGGTGCGTGTAATTATAAATTGGGCATATAATTCTAGACACAGTATATCTAAACAGCTGTATTTTAATGTTGTGAAGTAGCAGTGTTACAGCTTGCAGTATTTGTCATAAGTTTCTTCTAGAATGAATTACACATTCTAGGCTCTCAAGTATTTGGCCCTACAAGTTTTATTTTTCTGTTTTTCTTTGAGAAAGGTCATATGTAACCTAGGCTGGCAATATATAGCCTTGGATGAATTTATTCTCCAGCTTGGATCTCCCAAGTCCTAGATTGCAGGTGTTTGCCATGCATGGTACAACTGAGAAGCACCCCAGTTCCTTAAAAATTTAATAAGCTTTGTTTATTCTCTGAAAAATTTTCAAGAAAGATAGATTGAGCCGGTTGGTGGTGGTGCATGCTTCTTTAATCCCAGCAAGGCCTGGTCTACAGATCAAGTTCCAGGACAGCAAGGGATATACAGAGAAACCCTGTCTCGAAACAAAAAGAGAGGGGGAGAGAGAGAGAAAAAAAATGTTTTTATTCCATACTCTCAGTCTTTTTTTGAGATTATAATTCATTTTTCCCTTCCCTTTTTTTTCCTGCTCTCATGCTTTCCCATATATACCCCTCCCCACTTTCCTTTAAATTCGTAGCCTTTTTTTCATTTCATTCATATGTATATATATTTCAATATAAATATATATTTCTAAATATAACCTTTTCAACCCGTACAATATTATTTATGTATGTTTTCAGGGCTGACCATTTGGCACTGGACAGCCAATTTGGTGTCCTCTTCCCAAGGGAAGACCACTTCTCTGGATCCCAGCTTCTCCCATTTGTCTCACTTCTTTGTGTAGGGTTGCGGCCCAGTGGACTTTTCCCAGTCCAGTTTGGCATGTCCAGTGTCATCCTTGTTCGGTTAGTCATGTTGGTGAGACTTCATGAGTATAGCTTCTGACATTACCGGAGACAGTCTCAGCAAATTCCCCGCTCTCTGGCTCTTAAACAATCTTTCTACCCCTTCAGTGTTCCCTGAGGCTTAGGTGCAGGAATGTTTTGTAAATGTATCCATTGGTACTAGGCTCCACGACAAGTAATTAATTTTTAATTTTTTTTAACGTTTATTAATTCAGTGGAGGAGGCAGTATGTGTGGCTTGGTGAGTGGAGGTCAAAGGGTAACTTAGAGAAATTGGCTCTTTCCTTCACCATGTGGGTCCCAGGGTTTGGATTTATGTTGTCAGGGTTGGGTATGTAAATAATTTTACCTTTCATTTGTTAACTAATTTAATTATTTTTATTTGGAAAGGAATTTCACATTTCCTTCTCTTTCTGGTTTTTACCTTTTAATTAATTGTTTCCTATTCTCCACCTAGTACTAAGAATTGTCCTAAGGTCTTGAGCATGCTATGCAAGTAGTATATATAACTGAACTGTAGCCTTTTGAAAGAGTTTTATTTTAAACTTTGAAAGAGGGTCTTACTAAGTTGCTTTGAATTTGTGATCTTTGTGCTTCCTGACATAGGATTATGTTGCTTTCATTTATTTTTGATGGACCACGGGCAGCAGGCAGACTATCAAGTAGCCCAGGCTAGCCTCATATTCAGTATGTAGCGGAGGATGACCTTGAATTGATTCTTTTGCCTCCTGTATAAGTACAGGACTCTATGGGCTAGAGCTGTTCTATCCGGTGGTTGAGGTCATGCCTAGCCCTCCAAAGAAAACTTGCAGGACCTGTAGCTCACAGAAATAGAGGTCATACTCTTGAGTATCTTCTAAGTAAAAATATTTTTTTGTTTTGTATCAAAAATATTTGATTATCTGAATTTTGAATTTAGATGTTATATAATTTAATGCCTCAAATTTATATCTTCTGAACTGATTGTGGTGGAACTTGCTTTGTTAACCAAGTTGACCTTGAATGCAGAGATCCACTTGCCTCTGCATCTTGAGTGCTAGGACTAAAGGTGTGCACCACCATGCCTGGTTATTAATTCTTAGAGTAAGCTTGTTGGAAATGTCTTTAATACTAACAATACAGGGAATAATTATGAGAGAAAATGAGAGTTATGATTCTACTATGAGAAGTTAGAGAAGCAGAAACTTCTTTTTTTGAATCTCCCATTTTTTGTGTGTACACACATTCATGCAGGCGCTCACTCTTGCATGAATGGTGTGCTCGTGGAAGTTGGGACAGTTGAACTGAAATCAGCACTTTCTTTCCACCGTCTGGACAGTGGCAGTGAATCAGGTCGGCAGGCTTGTGCTGCAGCACCTTTATCTACTGAGCTGCCTCCCAGGCCCCATTTTGTGTTTTGACGCAAAAACTCACTTAATACAGGCTAGCATTGGAACTTGTGACCCTCCTGCCTCTGCTGCTTGACTGCTGTAATTACCGGTGTGAGCCACACCCACCTTAGGAAGTCTGAGGTTGCCATTCACACAGAATGTGAGGTAATAGAATCTGCAGTGTCTCAGCACAGAGCTGATTTAGGGCACTAGTGGTTGAAGGATTTGCCTCTTAGTAAACACAGCTGTCAACAAACATGCCTCCTGGGCTGGATTTAACCTGCCAATTCTCGGTTCTGAAAATGTTCTCTAAGGCCAAGAAAGTTAGCCCTCAGTGATTTCTCTTTGGCTGTGTCTAAGCTTTGTGCCTGCAGTCTCAGTGCTGGCGAAACTGAGTGAACTAGATGACCTAGGCCCTGGAGTATGAAGACAACCTGGGCAGAATAGTAAGATACAGTCTCCAAAGACAAAACTTAGCGTGACAACTCCTGCCAGTGATCCCAGCACGTGGGTACTTGAGACAGGAGGACTGCCTGGAATTTGAACAGCCTGGCCTCTGTGCTGAGTTTTAGGGCATCTTGTGGAGAGGGATTATTTCTCTTATATTATTCAGGGCACATTTATATAATGCTTACTGGTACTTTTTGAACTACCTTAATAAGGAAACTGAAGTATGCCTTCAGTCATACAGCCTAGGCAGATTTCCTTCTAGAATTCTGGTATTCATTTTGGGAGGGGATGGGGTTGGGCAGGGTCTCATGGAGCCCTGGTTGGTTTTAAACTTAATATGTAACCAAAGGTGAACTTGAATTCATGAATCTGCTTTTCATTTGAACTTGTGCTGGTAGAGCTTTTATGGGTAAAACTTACCCGGTTGAGAGATTGAGCAGTTAGGCTGATGAATTGTACTTATAGTGCCAGTAATAGAAATAAATAGGTGAGAGAGCAAAAGGATTGGTTAAGGCCATCTTGGGCCATATAGTGGGACCCCTTCTCCTCCCCTTCCTCCTCCTCCTCCTCCTCCTCTTCCTCCTCCTCCTCCTCCTCTTTCTCCTCCTCCTCCTCCGCTGCTGCCTGCATGTATCCCTGCAGAGAGGGCACCATATCTCATTATAGATGGTTGTGAGCCACCATGTGGGTGCTGGGAATGAACTCAGGACCTCTGGAAGAGCAGCCAGTGCTCTTAACTTCTGAGCCATCTCTCCAGCCCCCGGGACCCTTTCTAAAGTTGTTATTCCTCAGGGGAACTGATGAATGAATTTATCATCTAGTAGCTTTGAGCATGTCCCCCGAATGTGAGCCCCTTGCTTTCAAATGAAGGTTATGTTTTACAAACAGTTGATGCTTCAGAATTTAATTAGCAAAATAAAACTATGCTTCTAGCAAAGAGGAGTTCATACACAGATGACTTTAAAACTTTCATTTATGTATATGGGTGTTTTACCTTCATGTATGTCTATGCCCTATGTGATGTGCCTGGTGCCCACAGAGGTCAGGAGGGCATTGGATCCCTGGGAAGTTGAGGTGCAGATGATTGTGGGCCTCCATAAGGATGCTGAGAATTGAACTCCAGCCCTTTGAAAGAATAGCCATTGTTCTTAAGACTGAACTATCTCTCCAGTCCCTAAAATGATTTTTTCCCCCAAGTCAAGGTCTCACTATATAGCTCTGGCTATCCTGAAACACACTATGTAGACCATGATGGCCTTGGAGTCTTAGAAATCTACCAGTTCTGTCTTCCAAGTGCTGGGATTAAGGGCGTGTGCCCTTATGCTTAGCCTAAAATGTCAGGTTGGTTTTTTTTTTGTTTGTTTTTGTTTTTGATTTTGATTTTTTGCTTTGTTTTGGTTTTATTTTTCTAGACAGGGTTGGGTTTCAAAGCTGGGCGTCAGGTCTGGGCCATGCTGCCTGACATGTGTCAGGACACTCCTGTTTTTGTTCTTGTTTTTATTTCAAGGATCTCTGTATGCAAGTCTGTGCACCATGTGTGTGCAGTTCCTACAGAGGCTTAAGAGGGCATAGGATCCCCTGGAACTAGAGTTACAGCTGCAAGGTGGGTGCTGGGGATCAAACCTGGGTCCTCTGCAAGAGCAGCCAGTGCTCTAATGTTGGACCATTGATCCAGATCAAAATGTGTGGTTTTTTAAAAAATACTGTTTTTACTTATTTCTTTCTAAATCTCTTGGAAAGGGGAATAATGGTATTTTTGGATTTTGTTTTCTGTGGGGGAAGGAAATAAGAGTTAAATTGCTCAGAGGCTACATAAAATTTTTTTGATGATGGTTTTAGATTGTTCTACATATTGAGCTGTACCATCTAATGTTTCTTCCTCCCTCTTTCTTTCTTTCTCTCTCTCTCTCTCTCTCTCTCTCTCTCTCTCTCTCTCTCTCTCTCTCTCTCTCTCTCTCTNTCTCTCTCTCTCTCTCTCTCTCTCTCTCTCTCTCTCTCTCTCTCTCTCTCTCTCTCTCTCTCTCTTTCTTTCTTTCTTTCTTTCTTTCTTTCTTTCGCCAGGGTCTCTTGTGTAGCCCTGGATGTCCTGGAACCAGGCTGATCTCGAACTCAGCTCACAAAGCTCCACCTGCCTCTGCCTCCTGAGTGCTGCTAGAATCAGGGTGTGCACTATCACACTTGGCCTCCTAGTACTTTGTTTTTTCATTGACTTTGGAACTCATGCTTTAAAGTGTACTTAAATACTGCAGGTTTTTAAAATGACCCACACATGGTTGCATGTTTTCTTGAGCCAAAGAAGCAAGAAAAAATAAAATCTCATTTGTACAACTTTAAATTATGTTATTCTTTAAAATTCAAAATCATGGGTGATTTTCACATTTGAAAATAAAATTTTAAATCCAGGGATAGAGGTTTTGGTTAGACACGAGCAATGTGAGTTCCTAACGTCAGCAAAAAAATGACCTGAAAGAAAGTATTGATTCCATGTCTGATTTTATATTTAAGCAGCCAATGGCAAATGCCCTTAAAATGGAATCAGATGTTTGTAACTTAATACTTAAGAAAAATGATGAGTGCATGTTTTTTACTTTTAAGTATTCTCAGTGCTGCCTGGCTTAAGACATAAACTGATGTAAAAATAAATGACTGCCTGCATAATTTATGTGATGTCCTGCTCCTGATCCTGTTTGTATTGATTTTTCTAAAAGGCTTTTGTGGCCACAGGAACCAATCTGTCTCTCCAGTTTTTTCCGGCCAGCTGGCAGGGAGAACAGCGACAAACACCTAGCCGGGAATATGTCGACCTAGAAAGAGAAGCAGGCAAGGTAGGAAATATCTTTGCTATTTAAAGTATTGTGAATTGTTTGTTTTATTATTGTCTCATTACTTGCATTTTAATAAGGAGATTATTAGTCTGACTACCCAGATGTATGGTCAGATTTGTTAAAAGAATGTAAAATGATTTTAATGACTTTTATAACATTTAATTCCTAATTATATATATAAGATAATTATCAAGAGAAATTCTAACTTATAGGAAAGTATTCTACATTTAATAGTCAAATTTTGATTTCTTTAAATATTAGTACAAAATTTTTTGTCTGTACTAAAATATATTATGATAGTCTGAAATGAAGGAGAAAAAAATGGAGGAAAACTGTATGTTTAAAATTTTTTTAAAAAAATTAAATGCTTCTTTGTAAACAAGTTATAGCTATTTTGTTAATATAACAGTTGATTTTAAGAACATCATAAGAAAACATCTACTTGAAAATATTTTTTATTTAATTAAAGGAAAACTTTCTGGGAATTCAAATAAATGCTTTACAATTTTTATATTAGAAGTGAGGTTAAAGTTATAAAAATAGGTAGAAATGTTTACGCTGATACACTGATAACTTAAAAATCTATGTTATGTTACTTGATAAAAATTTAATAAATATTTTAGATTGATCTTTGATCAAAGAATCACTTTCAAAGAATTAAAAAAAATTTAAATCAACTTATTTTATAAACTTTTATATCCAGTTGTATACTTGTTTTTTTTCCTGCTTTCTCTTTAGAATGGTTTTGTTGGTGTTTGGGGGTTTTGCTTGTTTGTATTTCTGGGACTTTTTTGTTTTTGTTTTGATACAGAGGGGCGGTCTCTGGTAGCAATGGCTGACCTAGAATTCTTGGATCCTTCTGACTCTACCTTGGACTGCCAGGGTTACAGGTGTGTGCCACCACACCCAGCTTGTAGTATGTTACCACACCTGTTTCTAGCAACTTGCTAAATTTGGCTAAATTATTTTCCTAAGTGTCATCACCATCACCGTTGTGTGGCTTGGCAGATTTGGCCTCTTTAGTTTGGGAGCAGTTCTTGGACTTCTTAATGATTCCAGGTCAGCCTAGCTACAATGAGACCCTGTCTCAAAACAAAACATTGCTGGTCCAATGGCTCTGCAGGTAAAAATGTGTGCCTGGCAACCTTGATGACCTGATTTGGATCCTCAGAATCTATTGTGGCTGTTATCACAGGTTCAGCATTCCTACCACAAGGTGGGAGATAAGAGTCCAGAGGAACTACCAGAAGCTAGTGGACATCACAGTCATAGACACACAGGAAAGACCCTGACTAAAAACAAAAATGGAAGGAAAGAGCTGGTCCTGAAAAACTGTTCTCTGGTGTTCAGACACATCTGCACCCCCATCACACACAAATAATAAAATAACTCTTTAAAAAAATGAAAAGCAACAACTGAAAAGAATTAGCAGCATATAAACACTAATTAAAAGATTTATCTTTTTAAAGATTTATTATGTTTAGTGTTCTGCCTACATGTATACTTGCAGACCAGAAGAGGGCACCAGATCTCACTGTAGACTGTTGTGAGCCACCATGTGCTTGCTGGGAATTGAACTCAGGAACTCTGGAAGAGCAGCTCTTAACCCCTGCTCCATCTCTCCAGCCCCAGATTTACCTGTTTTAAGTATAGTGAAAGATTTTGTTTAGATTTGTTCTTTTTGTTTTTAGAGACAGGGTTTCTCTGTGAGGAGCTCTGACTGTCCTGGTCCTGTGTAGACCAGTCTAACCTCGAACTCACAGAGATTCACCTGCTTCTGCCACCTGAGTGCTGAGATTAAAAGTGTGTGCCTTCGCCACCCAACTGGATTTGATTTTATTCAGTTATTCATTCATTCATTCATTCATTTATTTGGTTTTCAAGACATGGTTTCTTTGTAGCTTCGGAGCCTGTCCTGGAACTAGCTCTTATAGACAAGGCTGGCCTTGAACTCACAGAGATCTGCCTGCCTCTGCCTCCCAAGTGCTGGGATTAAAGGTGTGTGCCACCACTGCCTGGCTACTCATTGTTTTTTTTAAATCCTTCAGTCTTTCCCTTTTCAATCTAAGATTAACTAGTTGCCCATAAAAGATCAAATCTAGGCCAGGCGTTGGTGGTGCATACCTTTAATCCCAGCACTCAGAAGGCAGAGGCAGGTGGATCTTGTGATTTGGAGGCCAGCCTGGTCTACAAGAGCTAGTTCTGGGTTAGGCTCTGAAGCTACAGAGAAACCCTGTCTCCATAAAACAAAACAAAACAAACAAACAAACAAAAAATGGAGTAGTTGTTATATAATATTCTTTCTTGTGTACTAACTTTAATTGGAAAATTAAACTTACTACTTAAAATGTGTTTCAATTTCAGTAGCAAATGATAAAACTAGTACAAGGTATCAAAAAATTTACATATTACTAATTCTGGTTTTAGAAGTTTGTTTTTCTAAAAGGATAGATGTAAATATTTTCAGTTTTGCAGGCTTGTGTTCTCCGTTGCAGCTTTTTACGTCTGTAGTTGTAGTGTCAAAAGAGCTGAACAGGTGAGTAGGGATATATTCCAAGAATGTGGTAATGTTAGCCAAAAATCAGTATTTTTCTTTTATATATAAATTGTGTTTACATATAGATGACAGATCTTTCATCTATAGTTTTGCCAACACCTATACTCACCAAAAAAAAAAAAAAAAAGAAAAAAGAAAAAAAGGCAGAAAACAAACAACACCCTTTTGACCTATTGCTGCACACTGCTAAGGTAAAGTACTCCAGTTGATTTAAGAAAGGAATACTAACCTAGGTGCTCTCATCCATTGCATTCAGACTGTGGGATCTTATATTTTCTTTCTTCCTTTTTATGCGTTGTTGTTATCTTTAGACTTTCTGTCTCCACAGGCCTAAGGTTGACTACCAAACAATTTGAAGAATTTTCCCAAATGTTAATTATTTGCCAATGTTAATTCTTATTTTTATCAGATACCAAATGAGTACCATCTCATGTTTTTTCCACCTAGTTTGAACTCCTGATCCTCCCACCTGTATTTCCCAGGTGCGGAGATTGCAGGTGTGTAGATTCCTTTACTTTAACCTAGTTTCCTCCCAATCCTCTTGTTTCTCTTGACTGGTAAGTGACCAGGAACATTTGCAGTTTTAAATAGGTGGTGTTGGTAGAGAAGCGACCTAAAGAAGGTTAGGAGATGATGTGCCATGGAGGCGTCTAGGGGAACATTGTAAAGGACCATGTGCTGCATACTATATAGTTGACACGCAGGCCGCTGTAGCTAGAGGAGACAGTAAAAGATTAGACAAGGGAAATAAAGCAAAGAGCTGTTTAGTTTGACCATGGTACACAATTATAATGACTTGATTTTTTTCAAGACAGTTTCTCTGAAGCCCTGGCTATCCTGAAGCTCACTCTGTAGACCAGGCTGACCTAGAACTTAGAGATCTGCCTGCCTCTACCTTCTGAGTTCTGTCTTTAAAGGTGTGTAGCATCACCTCCTGAATTGACAGACTTTTTTTTTTTAATGAACATGCTTTTATTATATTTTTATTTGTGTATATACATTTGTAAGGTTGTGGAAATCTGTTCTTTATGTCGAATGTAGGGATTAAACTATATTTAGTAGGCTTCACAGCAAGTGTTTTTAACCATTGAACTCTCACTTGCCCAAAGATGTTGTTCTTTTTTAGTTTTTAAATTTCCCCTGGTTTATTTGTTTTAGTTTTTAAAGTCAGGGTCTCACATAGCTCAGACTGATTTTAACTTTTCTATATAGCTGAGGTTAGCCTTGAACTTCTAATACTCTTCCCTCAGCCTCCAATTCTGGGTGTGTGAACCAGTACACCTGGCTTGACACCGCCTTTTATTCTGAGTGCAACTGAAGAGTAATGTCAGGGTTCCAAGCAGATGAATGATATGGTTTGTGTTAGGTTTTGACAGATTCACTCTGTATTCTAGGTTGATAATAGATTGTAAAGGCCACAGTGAAGTAGGGAAACCAGTTTGGCTATTGAAGTAATCTTGGCAAGGCGATGGTGGTGCAGTGAGAGGTGAAAGTATTCTGAAATAAAACCATCTGAGTTTGTTTGTAAATTGGATGTAGTGGGTGGGAAAGAGTGTGCTAAGAACAGCTCCACCTCTTTGGCGAGAACAACTGGAAATGTGGGGCTGCCACCATCTGAGATGGGAAGGGTGCAGATAGAGGAAAAAGCAGGTTTGCTCAGTTTAAGACATGTGATGATTGCTTGTTTTTATAGCTTCTGTTTCCTTACTGCCTACTCTGAACTCCCAAAGCTAACTAACAAATTGATTCTTCATCTGTTTATCTCAAGAGTTCAGTGACCTTTGAAAAGAATCAATCAACTTCATTGAAATATAGCTTAAATATAATAAAATGCACTACTTTAATAGCGTAACTTTTACTTTAACAAATGTATGCATACACATAAATGTACTATGATTAAGGTAATGTTTAGCCACTCCAAAGGTTTTCTCAGGCTTCCTTACACAAATCTGGGATCATTGTAGCTGTACGGCTCTGGGTCAGGTTCTCTCTTGAGATCACATTCACACTGTTAGATAGGGCTAGACAGTCTCTGAAGACTGGTCTAGAGCCAAAGGATGTACTTCTAAGCTCATACGACTTCTGTTCGAAGATGTGTGCTTTTCTGTGCTGAAAAAAATGAATGAAGTCACCATGCTTTTTATGACTACTTCTCCGAGTCATTTGTGTCTCATTTGGTTTATTAGCAGCTAGTCACTAAGTCTAGGCCACATTCAACAGAGAAGGGGATTATTACACTTGGGTATGAATACCAGGATGATGGGATCATTGACCATGTTGGAGCCCAGCCACAATAATAATTGTTAAATTTACTGAATTCAAAACAGCTTACAATGTTAGTAAAGAAGAAACTATTTTTTATTCAAAACAGTAGTTTTGTGATTTAAGAAAATGGCTTCAGAAAGTAGCCCCTTTTATTCTTTTGCTTATGTGATAGCAAGAGTATTTTTACCTAGGCCTGTTAGTGAAGGTCAAAAATTCAAGTGAGTTCAAGGCCAACCTGGGCAACTTAGGGAAACCTTGTCTCAAAATATAAGACAAAAAGAAGGCTGGGGATGGAGATCAGTGTTAGAGCTTTTGCCTAGCACTTATGAAGCTCTAGGTTCAAGCCCCACACACACTCAATTTTCCCCCCAAACTAAGGATTTTGATTTTTTGTTTTATTTTTTCCAAACCAAAGGTCTTTAATAAGGAAGGTCTCTTAGCAGGCTATTACCTAAACATAGGTGTTTTATGTAAGATCAAGATAGAGCATAATATTGTTAAAGAATTTGAAAATTTTTAAAAAGGGTAGGCTGCCCTGTAACTCATCATGGATCAGTTTGGCCTTGAAACAAAAAGAAAAAAAATTTTTTTTTTTTTTTTTTAAGTTTTTCGAGACAGGATTTTTCTGTAGCTTTGGAGCCTGTCCTGGCACTAGTTCTTGTAGACCAGGCTGGCCTTGAACTCACAGAGATCTGCCTGCCTCTGCCTCCCAAGCGCTGGGATTAAAGCCCGGCTAAAAAGAAAAAAATGTATATGGGTGTTTTGCCTGCTTGTAAGTTTTTTTCACCCTGTATGTGATTGGGGTCCATGGAAGAGGCCAAAAGAGGGCATTGGATTCCCAGGAACTGGAGTCATAGAAGATTATGAGCTGCTACATGGGTGCAAGGAATTGAACCTGGGTCCTCTGGAAGAATAGTCAGCCCCATTTGAAACATCTCTCCAGCCCCATTTGAAACAGTTGTCTACTTGAACTGTTTGTATTTGACATGTCATTGGTTTTGTTTTGGATGGTACCCATGGAACCCAGAGCCTTGCATGGGTTACTCAAGTACTCTACTTCTGAGATGTGTTCCTAGCCCTTATCTTGGCTCTTAGAGTCTTTCAGGGAAGATTTAAAATACTACAGCCTAGTAGAGAGGTAGAGTCAACGCATTTGCATATTTATAAGTGGTAAGCAGAATATTCCTCATGTGAGGATTAAATGAAGTACCAGAAAATACATTTGAAATTTGAATTGTTTCGAGACTAGTCTCTTATAGTACAAGTTGGTCTTGAACTCGTGTTTATTCTGCTTCTACCTCCCATTGTTGCACAGATTACAGGTTTATGCCAGTATGCCCAGCAATGAAAATGCGTCTTAAATTGTAACCCCCTATCCAAAGTTAGGCTATTAGATGGTTTTATAGGTAAGATTGTAACTGAATAGTGTTAATGCTGTAGTATGGCTTGGTAAGTTATTTCAGGTAGGCCCACGATGCTGCTGGAATACTTCATCTTGCCCTAGTAGTCCATCTTGGTATATTATACACCTTGGCAACCAAGATTTTTTTTTTTTTTTTTTTTTTGGTTTTTCGAGACAGGGTTTCTCTGTGGTTTTGGAGCCTGTCCTGGAACTAGCTCTTGTAGACCAGGCTGGTCTCGAACTCACAGAGATCCGCCTGCCTCTGCCTCCTGAGTGCTGGGATTAAAGGCGTGCACCACCACCGCCCGGCAACCAAGATGTTTTTAATTCTTCTTTAAACTGCTTCCTTGTAATTTAGCTGTCAAAAGACAGCTAATGAAAAGCAACTTATCAGAACTTAAATCATTCCTAAAT